TGGCGTGCGCCTTGATGTTGTCACACAAAGCGGAGGGACCTACAGTTTTACGCCGACTCCGAACGGCGATTGTATTTTTATGAGAAGCTGTTTTTCATGGCAGAAATACACTCGGAGGTTTGCCATTGCCTGCCGAGGGACGACCGCTGTTAAGAAAAAACCTTTTTTCTATATTTTTGCGATGTTGCTTTGACCAGGGTTTGAACCCAGGCATTGTGGAGTGGAAGCGCGCACTGCTTACCACTACACCACAGCGGCCGACAAATAATTGTGAATATTATATTAGAACAAGGTGTACACTTTCATTTGTCGCTTAGTGTATATCGTCACCTGAAATGCAATAAGACGTAACAAACACCATCATTTAAAAGCAAAAAGTAGTAACTACTTAGTAAAAAATTCAAAATTCACATTTTGATCTGTATTATGGATTTCATCGTATTACAACTCCTCACATCATTTTATGAAAAAAAAATTAATAAATATTAGTCACGACTTTTTCCATTTCATGTACGATGTTACGTCTTTTTGCAATTCAGGTGACGATATGTGTGTAGACTGGTGCGACTGTTATTATTAGTTCTTAGCTCGTCTCACCAAAGTTTCGTCAGTATACAATTTTAATCACGCACCTCTACAAAAAATAATGCTTTTAAGGTCGTACCTTAAGCCGAAGAATATAAAGAGCAAAGAAGGGCTAAAACAAACTCATTAAATGTATTCATATGCATACATACATATTGTATATTGTCAATAGGTCACGTAATGCTCACTGAAAATTTGCCACCGCCAAATGGGTACGAAAAAGATTTCCTCCATAAAATAAATGAATACAAAGTAGATTAAGCAAATATTAAGGCAAATATGAGTACAACCGAAGTATGCACATGTTTACATAAGCAAGGTACTTTTTCAGGCAACAACAAGTAAGAGCAGCGCTGTCTTCGGCTATGCCGAAGGCTTCATACCTTTCATGAGCAGCTGAAAATTTTACTTTAACATATTAGTGCATTTGAATAAATTTATATATTCACAGCAGGCATAGATAGAGGAGATACATATATAAAAAATCATATCTAAACAATCAGAGGTATGGAAGATTTACCTTATATAGCACCAATCTAAGTGATTTCCACTGCTGTGTGATCGGTACGTAAACCGGTAACACAAATTAATGGGCTAATGTAGCTTCCTACATAAATGAGATACATATATCGCAAAAACTGGTATCTGAACAATCAGCGGTACAAGAGATTAAGATTATACAGCATAGATTTTGACAATTTTCTCAGTAGACTTTTTATAATTATTTAAAAAATAGCTTACGAAATTTATCGGTTTTAGCTGTCAAATAAAGGAGATTTACAGTAAAACCCCATATCTGAACAATCAGTTGTATGGGGGCAATAAACAGGTTATAGTGACCCGATCTTTGTTAATTTTACTGTAAACTTTCTGTTGATAATGAGTGAAAATAGTGCGAAATTTCATGTTTCTAGCTGCATAGATGGAGTAGTTATAACAAAAAATCTCATATCTGAACAATCAGATGTATGGGAGCTATATGTAAAATTGCCCGATCTTTGTTATTTTCACTGTAAGTATTCTGTTAATAATGAGTGAAAACGGTGCGAATTTTGATGTTCCTAGCTGCATAAATGAAGAAGTTATGGCAAAAAATCTCATATCTGAACAATCAGTTGTATGGTGGATATAGGTTGTAGCGACCCGATCTTCGCCATTTTCATTGAAAGTATTATTTTGATAATAAGTGACAACAGTGCAAAATTTCATGTGTCTAGCTAATTAAATGGAGGAGTTATAACGAAAAATCGTATATCTGAACAATCAGTTGTATGAGAGCTATAGGTTATAGTGACCCGATCTTTGATATTTTTACTATGTTTTCTGTTGATAATGGGTGGAAGTATTGCAAAATTTCATGTTCCTAGCTGCATAAATGGAGAAGTTATAACGAAAAATCTCATATCTGAACAATCAGTTGTATGGGAGCTATATGTTATAGTGGTCCGATTCTTCCGGTTCCAACAAATGATTAATACATTATAAAAATACACCCACCTACCAAATTTGATCCGGATATATCGAAAACTGAGAGACTAAATTGCATACAAACAGACGGACAGACAGACAGACAGACGGACAGACGGACATGGCTAAATCGACTCAGCTCGTCGTTCTGATATTTTAAGTATACATTTTAATGGGTCTATCTCTTCTTATTCTGGTACTTACAAACATCGGACCAAAGTTATAATACCATTTCATGCTCATGAAAGGTATAAAAATTAAGAAAAATATTTATTGTGATTTTTCTTGGGAGCTGGATTCTAAGTTATACTATCATTATTATTTGTACACTGTAAGGACGGAAGCATTTTGCGATGAAGACGACGTCCAACTTCAGAAGATTCCTTGCTCTCGCTGAAATGTATTTTGTTTCAGTGGCGAAAGGTGAAAGAATTGAAGATTTTTTTTTTTTTTCAAAATCCAGCATCAAGATTCTGGGGTCTTTTCGCACAATTAATTTCAATAAATTTTTTTTTTACTTATTTATTAACTCAAATTATTCTCAGAAACGCTTTCAAAAATCGAATAGATCTTGTTGTACTTATGCAATTTTATTTTTTCTCAGTTGGGATAAAAGTAACAACTCATTTTTAGACTCTGCCTTACATATATAAATTCGTGGACTCAGCCGATAAAGCAACTTAAGATACTTGTATGGGAGGAAATATTCGCGAGTATGGTTCTAAGACATTTTAAAAACAAGCCCAGAACTACTTCGTCCATCTGCTGCAAAGGACAAATATTTTGCCAAAAATTATACCAACGCTGAAGATGATGAAGTCTGCAAACATAAGAACATGTGATCTTGCTGATAGTTAATTTGATTAGTTTAGGATATGTAGTTTATTATACGAGTGTAAGTTCCTTGAACGAATAAAATGTATTAATATCAGGATTTTTTTTTAACAATCATATCCCTTTATTGAACTTTTCTTTATTCCTATATCTCGGGAAATTGTTGACCGTGCTGAGCTTTTCCTTTTTTTCAGGTAAAAATAATGGGATGCATATATGTACGTACATTATACTGCATCACTCCCCATACAAAAAAAAATCGGTACTATTTTTCCACCGGAATTATAAAATCTATTATATTTTAAGACGTCCACCAAAATATTTCGAAAAAATATTAAGATTTAAGTTAGCTGGACCGATTTGAAAATACCTCCAAAAATGGAGTTTTTTATGAATTAAAATAGTTTCTTAAAGATCTTTTTTTAAAAAAATCCCCTCAAATGACAAAACGGTTTAAGCTTAAAATATTTGCATAAAAATAAAAAATTAAAAAAAAATTTAACGAAATCGTAATGATGAGATTTGTGATGCTGTTTTTTTTTTTAATTTTTCCAAAGATTGGTATAAGAAAAACTTGATCGAGAGAAAGGTAGGAGGAACGAACGTCATTCAAAGTGGAATTAAGATGTGTTGGTACTCGAAGAAAAAAGATGGGACACGAATGACGTTTTTTGGCCAGAAATAAAAACAGTGTGAAAATACCTTTCTACTGAGATCCCATAAGTCTAAATCAGAACATTTTTTGGCCCAGTTGTTCAAGTTTTTTGTAAATAATCTTTGAAAAAGTAAAAAAACAGCATCAAAAATCCGCTCCGATTCCGCTGAAAAGATTTTCAAATATTTTTATGCAGATTTTTTAAGATTAATCTAATTTGTCATCTGAGGGGACTTCTTGCAAAAAGTTCCTTAAGAAACTATTTTTATTCATAAAAATTTCATTTTTGGAGGTATTTTCAATTTGGTCCAGCTCACTTAAATCTTAATATTTTTACGAAATATTTCGGTGGACGTCTTAAAATATAATACATTTTGTAATCCCGGCGGAAAAACCGAAACTTTTTTTGGTGATGCAGTCTAATGTACATACATATACATATGAGGGTCTTCGGTAATAACGACACAAATCAAAATTCATCAAATAAAACAAGATTTCTACTGTTAAGTGTCTCATGCCTATAATCCTCATCTAATGCTTAGTATGTACTTAGTTTATTCAGTAAAAATAATTGTAAGTGTGAAACTTGACCTGTGTTAAGACTGCTCCACCATCCTGAATGGAGTGGCGCTACCGTAAACGAATGCCGCGAGTAGCTCCAATTCTTCGATTTTGATTGGCGGCAACTGGGCAACAAGCCCGATGTTGTTGTTCCGATTGTAGTTTAAGGGTAAAATCTTTTGAATGTGACTTCCAGAACCTTATGGTGATTCGACGCTGATTTCTAATCTGATCTCATTAGTTCCGAAGAAAAAAGTATCCAAAGCGGAAGTTTCGGGATTGCTGGTAGTTAAAAGGTTGGAGAGATATGTAGTTTTAGCACTATAGCTGTAGAATATTGTACCCATTCCCAATTGCCTTAACTGTATGTAGACGATTATTTGAATATTCGTGTACGCCCCAACCTTTGCCAGCTTCGGTCGCGGCATCAAATTGTTTAGTTCTATGATGGTAGTGTTGCTATTATAATGCTTTTCTTTTGCACATCACTGTATTTACTTTTTCAGATAATCATTTTGGGAACTTTGCACGCAGCCCGACGATCAGCTGATTCTTTCAGACGCCCGCAACAACAACGCCGGTGCGATGCGTATGCGAAAATGATGCAGAGTGGAATGAAGAGACAAGAAAAACGAAAAGAAGACCAAATGAAAAGGAACACAGAATGGAAAGTTTCACACATAAAAACCAAAACACTCAAATAATACGCGCTTACAACTTGTTTGCAGTTGCAGCGTTTCAAGGGAGTGTTTACAAACATACATACCAAATATACATAATTTACATATGCGCATATATATTTACTATTCACAAAGGAGCGTATCTACTGTGCACTGTGCAAATTTAGCATTAAACTTCAATTAATGGGTTTAAATTTTAAATACATTAATCTACTTACATTTTCTGGCTCCATCTTTTGGGAATGTCAGCCACTTTTCGATGCGCAGGATTTGTGGCTGATGACGTATGAATGCGTTCATTATTGTAGTTGTTAATTATCGTTGAACTTAAATTTTCCTTCCTGCACCCCGTTTTTGGTCGCTGCCAGTCACTGTATACTATCGATTTTGTTTACCACCCAGCCTTGTTATTATTTTTTCTAGGATTCTTGTTTATCTTAGCGTTTTCCTTTGATTTGGTTTTGAAATATTGTTATTTCATATAAGAATATAATCACTAGTCTATAATTCGGTTTGTAAAGATTGACTCCGCTTTTATATTTTTTGGATTTTTAATCAAAATCGAATTTTTACAACTGAAAGGTAAATAAAAAAACTAAACATTAGAGCAAAAAGAATCCATATTACGCTTGAATTTCAAATCGTGGAAATTTTCCCTGTTTGATGACGGCATATTTTTTATTGCTTTCTAGTTTCATCTATTGTTATGTACATATGTATTTTCTTTCGTTATTTTACTATTATGGGTTTTACTTTTTCCGTACTTAAAAGCAAACGTGTGAAGTTTTTTTCTTGCTATCCCTGACTGAAAATTGTATATTTTTTAATGTATTAGCATGATACGAATACTTGTACTATGATGTATTAGTAGCTATTTGTGTGATTTTAGGGGTTATGCTTCACCAGCAGATTTTCTCTGCTACATAAAGAGCGCTGAAGCGGGGTAACGTGGTCAATTGGCAGTGGCCGCATTACACAACTACAGCAAATTTTTCGTTTGATTAGCCAGGTCACACAGCTAGCCCTTTAGAAAACAGCAACAAATGTATATGAAACTAATGGTATTCCATAAGTTAAATAAATTAATCATCCAAATAAAAGAAGCAGCAAAAGCATTGAGCAAAATCGCGAACACATTTTCCTTTCAATCTTCAGATGACTATGATTTTATTCTACTGGCGTTTTGCACAACCATGTATGTACACACTTTTTATAATTTCACGACCGCGTTTATTGCGTAGCCTTTTTGTTTAAATTCACAGTATTTCCGCCACGTTTTCTATGTAAAAACAATTATATTTATTTTACAATGCAAACCTTGGAACGTTTTCAATTTTTGTGTGATTATTTTCGGTTCTTACTGAACTGATTCGTTTTTAGACTGATGATAAAATCGAAAAAATACGCACGGAACTCACTCATTGCAAGATTCCAAGGCGCATCAATTACAGGTGATAGCGATAGAAGCTATGCTTCTTCTTATGAGCACGCTTGTGTCAAATTATCGTCTGTTTTGCTATATTTACATATCTGCGTATACATACACATATACGTATATATATACCCTGCAAACAAATGCTCCCGAAATCTTTAAGAGTGTCGGAAATTTGTTACGATTCTTTTAGAAATCTGTAAAGAAAAACATATGAGGCGGTTGATAAGAACTAGTAAAGAAATTTCTGTACGATTTCTTAAAGAAAATTCTTAAAAAAATTGTGAAACCTTTCAGAATTCTATGAAATCCTGGTATGCATGGTATACATATACACACGAATATGAATAGATAAAAAAGATGGTGATGACACAAGGAGTTCATACCAACGGTAAATGTTGTTTTTGTACGATTGGTACAACCCATGAACGAAAGACACAAGATCACGCGGGACGGAAAGAACGAAAAAAGTTATTTTCTAGCTGCCGAAATCTCGACGCCATCTTTGCTGTAAGAAGTAAACAACGAAGAGAACGGAGAAAACCGCGAAATTGTTGAACGCATGAAAAATCATTTTTATTATGCAAATTCTTCTAAAAATCATGCCGTTGTGTTAAATTATTCTTTATCTTATGTGTACACACGTTGTCACAAGCGAAAATGAAGAAAATTGCAGTAAAAAGCCACCACCAAATTGTAAACAACGAAGAAATGTAAATAAACGGCTAATGTCAAAATCGTCCAACTTTTTTCCTTAATGCGATTCTAACGGGCTAGTCTCCTGCACGAGTGATCATGTCTTTTTGGTTCATGCTACAACCTGTAGCTCGGAACACTTTGACGACGGCAAGCGACAAGCAGCATCTGTCAAATTTTAAATACACACGTTCTTAGTGGCTTTTACACAGTTCAAGTATTGAATTCAATTCTGCTCGGACATGGACCGTCAAGTCGTTTCAACTTTCTTGCTTTGCTTTTGGCATTTTCGTTGCTTCCCATTTAAAGAACCAAAGACTTGAATTCAACAGAATTGAAACGTGTAAAAGCAAATAAAAAACACAAAAGAGAATGAGCAAGAATTGCTTTCAAGTACTTGAATCATGTAAATCAGGTGTTACGGACACAATTATTTTGACGACAGCACGACATCTTGGCTGCAGGACTGCAATTGTCGACGTCGCCAAATTAAATCTATTTCTAATTTTGCCGGCGACAATGAGTAGATGTAGTGCTGCAAAATTAAATTGTCGCAAAATTAATCACATATTCTTGATTGTTCATGTTTTTCTTATTTACTTAAATAAAAATACACAATTTGTTAAATAAATATACCAAAATATCAAACTTTAAAATCAGCTGTTTGCTATGTCGCTGAGGTCTTCAAAATGTTTAAGAAGCTGGCTTCAAGGCGACATTTGTCGACAAAATGATGTCGCTGTCGTTACGTCGTGAAGTTGCAGTCGTCAAAGTGTTCCGAGCTTGTAGTTGTTGAATCATGCAAGATTCGCTTTCTTTTGCCAATCGTCGTGTTCATTTTGCATTCCCATTCGTTGCCTGTTGTCAGAGATGCCAGTTACTGGAATTTAAGTAAGTTTTATTTTTTAATATGGGGTATTTTATTTTATTTTTTTTTTTATTTTTTTATTTTTTACAGTCTGTTAGACTTATATTGCAACAAAGATTTAACATTCTTATAATTAGATTTTAGATTTAAAATATAAATATTAAATATTAAATACAAAATACAAAATGCTCTACAGAAATTTTTAAATAATATTATTTCTTTATCACTGCAATTATTTTATGTCATTATACACGCATGCAATTTCCTGGAAGTTATGTAGACGGTTGGAAAGGCCGAGTTTCCAATCCGCGCTATTCTTTTTGGGTTACTCCATTTATTGATATCTCCTGGGTGGTCAGAAAGGCCGAGTTTCCGATCCACCCAGTCGCGCTTTCGTGACGGTTAACGGTTGGAAAGGCCTAGTTTCCAATCCGCTCGTTTATTGTTTATTATCTAAGGGTCTAGGTAGTCGGAAAGGCCGAGTTTCCGATCCGCCTAGTCTCGATATCTTGGTGGTTGGAAAGGCCTAGTTTCCAATCCACGCTATTGTTGATACATCACTATCTTGTAGGCTGCGTTCTACAATAGTCAAATAGCAGCCGCTTGAAAAGAGTGATAGTATCACAATTTTTTATAGCCTCTGGTAATTCATTGAAGCACTTTAAGCCTTTAAGAAAATATTTTTTTTGTCCACTTCTGTTCTGTACTTCGGGAGTCTGAAGCTGTTATTCTCTCTCAACAAATATGTATGCGTCTCATTTATATATCGGAGATTATCGCTAAGATAATCCGGCAGGTTGCCCTTCTTAATATTGTACACAAATTTCATAGCGTGGTAAAAAACTTGTTGCTTCACGCTTAACCAATTCAAGGTTTCAAGCATACATCTTGTTGGTGCGTCATACGGTTTGTTGAGGATGAATCTCATCGCTCGGTTTTGCATTTTTTGCAGCTTATCTACATGGGAGTCCCCCGCTAGGAAGAAAATCGTGGGGCAGTATATAAAGTGCGGTTCTACTATTGACCTGTACACCAACGTTTTATATCTTCTTCCCAAGTACTTACACGATCTCTTTATAAGGCCAATTTTTTTAGCAATCTTGTTGACTGTATACTCAACGTGCTCATCAAACTTTAGTTTGTTGTCTATGTATATTCCTAGGTACTTGACAATTTTCACCTCTTCGATATTTTCATCTTTGATTTTTAATTCACGGCTTATGGAGTCAGCATTTGCCGCTCTGGAAAATACCATAAAGTTAGTCTTTTTCACATTCAGTTTGAGTTTATTTGAACACAGCCATTGATACAAAGAATTAAGATCTTCTTGCATTTTGACAATCGCATTTGGTAGTTCCCTATCACTGATCGTTAACAAGGCATCATCCGCAAAGAGTTTTATTTTACAATGTTTGAGAGAACTTTTAATATCGTTTATATATATATTAAAGAGTAGGGGCGCCAAAACTGAGCCCTGTGGTAATCCGATGTCTACGGCTATCTTACTAGACCTCTTTGAGTTAACTATTGTTTGTTGCCTACGATTACACAGAAAGCTTCTAAACCAGTCAAGCTCAGTGTTTTTTATACCAATGTATTTTAGTTTATCCAACATTCGGACCCTATCAACGGTTTCAAATGCTCTTTTAAGATCAATAAACACTGCCACTACATTAAGGTGTCTGTTCAGATCTTCTTTCCATTGAGAAAGCACCAGATTCAGCGCAGTCTCACAGGAATGTTTGGCTCTGAATCCAGATTGTTCTTTTATGAGTATTTTATTGGATTCCACATAGTACTGTAGCTGGTTTTTCACAACGGTTTCTAGCATTTTTTCCAAGCTAGGGAGAGTATTGATGGGCCTAAGCTCCTCAGCTTTAACCGTTTTTCTAACTTTCTTGACGGGCACTATTGATGAAATTTTCCATTCTTCCGGTACTGATCCTGTCTGGAGACTCTTATTTATAAGTAGGGCATAGAAATATCCCATATAATCAGCAGAGTCCTTAATAACACCTTCAGAAAGTAGGTTGTTTCCCCCAATTTTCCGCTTAAATTTTTTGGTAATTTGAAGAATGTCTTCCGTTGAGACCTCTTCAAATTTTAGCGTACTTGTGGGAGCTCGTTGCTCGAAGGAATCATAGTTTACACACTCTATATTGGTATGTATTTCCAAAATGCTGTCCACGAAAAAATTATTTAGGTTTTCCGCAATTTCAAAGCTGTCTACGTAGTTGGTGTTATTTATTATCACTTCCCCAATATTTTCTTTGACCTCCGTGTTATTGACTACCTCCTTTAAGTATTTCCACATGAGTCGGCTGTCACCCTTATTTATTTCCACCTTATGCTCTAAGTATTTAATTTTTTTACACCTTACCATTTTCTTATATCTGCTTCTCACTAAATTATATTCACCCCAGTACCCTGACAACACTGCTTTCTCATGGGATTTAGATTTATACTTGTTCATCTCTGTCAATTGCCTATCATACCATTTGTTCCTCTGCCTAATGCGAGTTATTTTTGAGTAAGTCAACTGCCTCATGGCCCACATAATGCAGTGAGTAATATACTCCACCATACCGTCAGCATCGAAAAAATTTAAGTTTGAGAAATCGCACTGCCTTAGTAAACTTGTTAAGTTCTCAGGGTTATATCTCTCCCAGGATATTACTTCTGCCTCCTTAGCAAGTGGGTTAAGTTTATTGACATTTAGTCGAAACATTATTGTTTCGTGGTCAGATATTCTATGATCCTCGACCTTTTGGCATATAACTCGGTTATCATTGGAATACAACAAGTCAATACGTGTTTCCGAATGTTCCGTCACCCTCGTATTAAAATTTATCAGCTGTTGCATGGCTTGTTGCAAGAAAACATCATTGAGTTTTCTGCTGTAGGTTGATACTACGTTCATGTTTATGTTAAAATCGCCAATGACAACAGTGTTCACAGAATTTTCTGAGATTTCTGCTAGGATATCCTCCATATATGTAACAAATTCCGCATCACTTGAGCTTGGGGAGTGATAAACCACCCCGAGCTGCCACCTGGTATCACAGTGTGTGAGTTGAATAACTATACACCAAACATTTTTGTCTAAAGCCTTGTTAGTTATTGTTTTAAAACCGAGCGTGTTTCGAACGAGTATTATCACTCCCCCTGTGTGTCTACTGTGTGAGTCGCAGCGTATCATCTGATACGCCGGGAACATTATTTCCGTATCCTCTATGTCATCAGTTAGGCATGTTTCGGAACACAAAAGTAGATCCGGGTCGGTAAAATCTATAAGTATTTCTAGCTCAACTTTATTAGCCACTAAACTCTGTATATTGAGATATACGCATTGCAAATATTTGGGTAGCGCTTTCTTTACACCTGGGTGAGACGTAAACTCAACGCTAGGGTCCCCACAAACTTGCTGTAATTGTTAGTAATTTACAGTATTTCTTTTATGCTCGAGCTTTTTCTGGTATACAGGACACTGTCGGTTAAATGTCATATGATTTTCATCAAGCCCTAAGTTAAATTTTTTATTAGCACGAATGCAGTTTATGCATTTGTTTAATGTTTCCTTAGAACATTCCACAGTTTTGTGGTTATCTAGGCACTTGAAACATACCTCATTGGCTTTACATTTCGCAGCTATGTGGTTAAATCCCTTGCATTTGAAACAGAAAGTAACATCCATTCCATCTTTGACTCTACATTTTTCCCAACCTATGTTTATTTTTTCGCTTGCCAGCACGGATGCAAACGCATCTACATCTGTTTCTACTAACGCATTATAATGTTTTGCATTTCCTCTTTTTGTTTCAAAACATTTCAAAATTTTGAAATTACCATTTTTGAAGCATTCATTCTGTTTTTTTATCATATCCCTGAGCTGCTCATCCTCATGTTTAAAGCTCATTCTATATACCATGAACCTTGGCTTGGCTACGTTTGGGATTTTTATTTCATATCTATCACTCATTTTATTCTCTATTGCCTTTTTGATTTTTTCACGCTCAGCCTCATTTTCTGTTTGTATTACTACAGCCCCACTTTTCCTCCCCTGTACACTATTAATTTTCAAGCCCGAGGGGTCAACATTTTTGTTCAAATCTTCTTTTGTTTTTCCCACTTCCTGCTTCTCTTTTGGTTGTAGAACTAATGGCTTCTCTTTATTTACTTTCGGCGGCCTATTATCTTTCGCAGTATTACCTTTAAAGAGATCCGCGTAAGTGGCTTTCGCCCGCTGACCTGCTAACGCGTCAGCAGTCACCGATTTCTTTATCTCTTCACAAATTTTTTTGTTCTCATTTTCATTGCGCACTATGGCTTCGCAAAGATCATGGCTTTGCTTTTTTACGCCGTCAGCTATTGACTTAATTTGGTTCACTTCGAGAATACTCGCCTCACAGGTTTTTTGTACTCTTTGCATTGCATCAATGCGTTCCCCAAATTTTTTCTCTATTGATTGCAAGAGAAGTTTAAGCTCTTTCACTTGCATTTTCTGCGACTCCTGGAAGTCATCATTACACTCTTGGATCTTTTGACTATTTTTCTCTATTGTTAAGTTCATATTTCGGAGCACCTCATCGATATTATGCATGTATGTGTGACATTGGTTACACATAAAGCGCACAAAGTTGTTTTCTTTGAGTACATTCGCACTGTACTCATCCAATTCAGAGCATTTTTTTGCCCAGTGCCACACTTTACCACACACACCATCACAGCGGATTCCGCTGTCACCGCGAATTGGATTCTTGCACTTATGGCATTTATCCATTTTCGCGCCTTATTGTTTTTGTCACCTCACTGCACTTTTATGTCTCTAGCTATATTTATTTGTTTGTTTAATCAAATTGAAACAAATTTTTGTGCTTGCAAATAGCACAGTTTATTAGCACTTCGCTATTTAAGTCACTGGCTCTAACGCTGGTAAAAATCCCAACAATTCGGCTGTTTTTTAAAAATTTTCCGCAGAGCGATTACAAACACGTCAACAACGTTGCAGTGTTACCAGTTTGAGATGCCGTAACATACGCAACGGTATCGTAAGTGTCGTATGCCGTGAACTTTAAACGCCTAAAAAATATGTTAAGGGGTTCGCAAAGTACCATCAAAGTCATATTTAGGGAGTTCACAAGGTGTTGTATACTGTCGTACCAAAGAACGTAGACAACAAGAAGGGACAACTCGTTATAATTTTGGCGAAAGTGCGCAACAGGGGCGTGCCTTCTCTTTTCATCCAAATGAAAAAATGCACTAGGGCAAAATAGAAGGCACGCCCCTGTTGCGCACTTTCGCTACAATTATAACGAGTTCTCCCTTCTTGTTATCTACGTTCTTTGGTCGTACTGTCGTATGTCCTAAACTTTAAACGGCTAAAACTATATATAAGGAATTCGCAAACTAACATAAGAGTTTTATTATGAAATTTCACACCGTTAAAAAATAGTTGGTGGGGATTTCAAGTCCTCTCAACATTTATTTAGCCATTAAAAACTTTACAACATACGACAATACGACACGTACGACACCTTGATATGAATGTTTGTAGTGTTCAAAAATAGTTGGTTGTCGTTTCAAGTTCTCTAAACATTTATTTAAGCTTTTAAAGTTTACGACATACAACAATTGGGGTGTTCACAGTTCGTTCCAAATAGTGTCTCAAAATGTAGACGTCTACATTTTAAGACGTTTTCTAACCGTAAAATCTGTGGTGTTGTTGTTTCCCATACAAAATTGGAAAACGACGCCGTCTACATTTTGTCACACTCAAAGGTATGTTTTTTACGCGTCTACATTTTGCAACCTCGCAGCAGGGTTGCATTATGGCAATACTAATCGCATTTTTTTTATTTATTGGGCACGTTTTCTATATTTGCATTTAATTTGAGCGCAATTTCTGATGAAAAGAAATAAGTCAAGGAAAAGAAATAACAAATATTAGGAATTGGTAATTAAGTTAAATAATTACAATTTTTCAGAAACAAAATCGAAAGGCGACATATAAAAAAGCACGCAAAGAAGAAATGTCTGGCAACACCAGCAAAGTTTTGAGACGATTTTGCGACGACTGCTAGAAAGGGGTGCTCACAGTTTGATGCTAAAGATGTCTCAAAATGTAGACGTCTACATTTTCAGACACAATTTGGAACGAACTGTGAACACCCCAAATACTACACTTACGACACCGTTGTGAATCCCTCAATAGTAAGGGCAAGGCACATCCATAGAAGGTGGTGGCATCATCATTTCGTTTTGTTGACATCCTAAAGTTGCGCCATTTCGTCTTGGATGACATTCTCCTGTACTAGTGTAGATACAAAAATATCCAATCACCTGTTCAATGTACTGTGGCGAATACTGCGGCAACACAAAGCGAACAACGAGAAATAGGCAGAATGTTCGAGGAATGACGAAGAATGTTCCACAAAGAGAAACGTCAAGTTGGATGAACACTGCGAACAGCGAGAGAAAGAGAATGAGCGATAAACTTCAGAATGTTCTAGAGTTGCCATAAGTGCCAGCGCAGGTATATAAGGGCGCCGCCACAGCGAAGTAAGTCAGTTACAAGTCAGCAAGCTACAAGTAAAGTGATCAGAGAAGTGAGTTGCGAATAAGCAAGCTATAAGTTTAATTGTGTTAACAAGTTTAGTAAAGCGTTTCTACTGTATTAGCGAATATTGTAAATTGTTTGTTGTACAATAAAGTTAATTGTACTACAATTTGGCCATCGTTAGCATTTATTTAACAATCCAGAGATACGAACCTAAAGATATTTGGGAAATCCCTCAAGGTTTCGAGGATAATGGGCTGTTTTTGCTTACGCGTAAAAGCACATTTAGCGCATTTAGCCCTAAATGCTACTCTAAATGTACATTTATCCATACAAAATTCGTCACCTAAATGCAACGAAATGCAACTCCATTTTTGCATTAAGAATCTAAATGCTATAAGCAACCCTGTGATCTTCCAAAATTTCCACGATTCGAACATGGTTTAATGAAAAACAGTGGCAACATTGCCTTTTCGAGTATACAGTCGCTAGCTGGGTTTCAGTGATCGCCGATCGAGATTTCATTTATTATTTTACATTATTTGGATAAAGAAAAGTTACGCAAATTCAACATCGATATGATGCTGATACAAATCTGGATTAGTTTGTGATCAGCTCTGTCTGTTTTGTTTCCTAATTAAGTGTGGAAATTATAATTGACTGCACCGACAAATGAATATATACACAAACAAATGTTCGGTTATGGTTAAAACAATTCAAGTGTTTGTATTGAATTTTCGGTTCAGAATTTATTTTTTTCTTTTTCAGTAGGGGTTTTGCACATTATCTTTTCCGTGGGAATTTATCGTAATAGATACAGATCTGAATAAGCGACTGGAACACGGCTGTTTGTCAAAAGCATACTATTTCGAACTCGCGTAAATGTACATTTGCTAAATGCGGTAGCATGAACGCTCTTCGAAAACATATGTTCGAAAGTGCTAAATGTTGCATTTTAAATGCAGCAAAAACGCTGTATAATCCTAACAATTGGTGTCAGAGGTGGGATTGTTAAATAAATCCCGAAGGATAAACTACTGAAAATGGCGAAAATTCAGGACTTAAAGATTGAGGAGCTGAAACAGGAGTTGGAAAAGCGTAATTTGGCCACCTCTGGAAGAAAAGTGCAATTATTATCCCGTTTGCGGGAGGCTATGGAAGCTGAAGGCATCGACGTGGACAAATACGACTTCCAGGGTAAATCCGACGATGCATCCGCAAAGGACAAACAGAAGGATGAGGCTGCTTGTTCGTCGAAGGATGTGCAGCAGACATCCGGGAAGGTTGAAGAACAGCGAAAGTCTCCAAGTTCATCAACAGCTATGGACATGAACACGTTATTGGCTGCCATGTCACAGATGTCATCACAGCTGTCATCTCAGATGCAAACACAGTTGTCAGATATTTCGTCGCAGCTACAGGCACAGAAGACACACGTATCACAGTTGCTGGAAGTCCAGGATGCAAAGATTACACAACTGCAGGAGAATTTGGCTAGAGATAACGAACAAATCAAGGATAGACAGGATAAAGTCGAGGCTAAGGTAGAAGAGTTGGAAGGTCGCCTCCGAGATATACAGTTGAATCGTCCACCTTCTTCGACCAGCGCGCCCAAGGTAAAGACTCCATCCTTTGACGGCACGATTCCTTTCCAAGTCTTTAAGCTCCCGTTCGAAAAGACGGCTACAGCAAACAACTGGAGCATGGACGATAAATCCGCTGCTCTGTTCGTGGCATTAAAAGGACCTGCAGCGGAAATATTGCAGACTATTCCCGACTGTGAAAGGAATAATTACGATGCCTTAATGGGTGCAGTGGAAAGACGTTATGGTAGCGAGCACAGGAGACAGATATACCAGATGGAGCTGGAGAATCGCTGCCAGAAATCCAACGAGACTCTACAGGAATTCGCCTCCGAGGTTGAAAGGTTGGCTCATTTGGCAATTGGAGATACATCTGGTGAGCTCCTCGAAAGAGTAAAAATCCAGAGGCTCATCAACGGAATGCGGGACGTGTATACCAAGCGAGAGACGTACGCGAATCCAAAGCCAACATTTGCTGAAACTGTCTCGTATGCTCAGACGCGTGAAACGGCGGCGCTCCTAAGTAGACCAGCCTACAAAGCACATCGTGTGGAAGTGGAAACACCGGACGAGACAAATGAAATGCTGAAGAAGATTATCCAACTGTTGGGCGAGAAAAAGCATGGCTCTGGCAAATGTTTTAAATGTGGAAAGCCAGGCAACTTCGCCCGCGATTGCAGCGCAAGTTCCAGTGCGCTCAAAAATTCAGCAGGACGCAAACGCAGGGCTGAAGGAGACGAATCCAACTCCAATCAGTCGTTAAACTAAACCGAGCCAGCAGCAAAGGGGCGCGCGCTGGCTCCCGCAATTGAATGCCCCATAATCTCCGTCTCGCGAATTGGCAGAAAAGCGAGCAACGTTACTGTTGGTGGATATGTGGACGGACATGAGCGAGTACTAACTGTGGATACGAGCGCATCACATTCCATCATTCGATCTGATTTGGTCACTAAAGAGGTAAGGCCATTACCTGGAGCAAGGTGGAGGACAGCAACTAGTGAGGACACCCAAGTTGTAGGGGAGGTAATATGCAAAGTCGCAATAGGGAATGTGACGGTGTAACACAAGTTCATAGTTGCGGCGATTATGGATGAGGTCATCATTGGATTAGACTTCTTGCTTGATCAAGGTATGCACATCAACATGAAGAACAGGATTATGACGTATCACAACATGAAAGTGCCCCTTAGGTATGGGTATGATGGTCCGTACAGCATCAAGCGAGTGATCCTAGAGGAAAGCGAGCAGATTCCACCGAAGTCAGAAGCAGTTGTGTGGGCAAAGATTGATGGAGATTGTGGGACAAACAAATTGTGGGTTGTTGAAGCAACACAAAACTGTACACCGGACGTACTTATTGGTAAAACACTGGCTAAGACGCAAATGGATGGACGCATCTCAGTTCGAGTGCTCAATGAGTTCAAATCACCAGTCAAACTCCGAAGAGGAACTGTACTGGGGCAATGTCGAGAGGTAGAGGCAATCTTCAACTGCGAAAAATTACCTAAAAGCGATTCCATTGGCGGGAATGACATTGCGGACGGAAGGGTTGGAAGAAAAATACCAGCACAAGGCTAAGGAACTTCTCCGAAGATACTCCAACATATTCGACAAGGATGGCGACAAACCAGGCAGCACTAACGTTGTGAAACATCGCATTGATACTGGCGATGCAAGGCCAATCCGTCAAGCTCCTCGGAGTGTTCCACTTTGCCAAACGTGAAACGGTTAGCCAAATAATAAAAGAAATGAGCGAGAGTGGTGTGATTGAACCATCAGCGAGTCCATGGAGTTCGCCGGTAGTACTTGTGAAGAAGAAGGATGGTCAAATGCGGTTCTGCGTTGACTACCGGAAACTAAACGATGTGACGAA